CCAGATTTGCAGAAGCTTAGCCTCAAATGTAGCTCTTGGATAATGAGCAGGGTTAGCGTCAGCCGTAGGGAGATTAAACTTAGAGAGAACAAGGTGCTCAAGTTCTGGCCGGAGGATGTTTACAAGGTGTTTGGCATCCCATGCGGCCATCGAAATGTCAAAGGCAGGGATGCCAATATCAATCCAGAAGCTGTCGATTTTATAAAGACAACACTTCAGATGAACAAGACTGGGGTTCATAGCCTGCGGGCAGCTGAAGATTTCTTGTTGCGCGACATCAACGACAACTCCAGTAAGCTGGAAAAGGATTGCTTCTAGATTGCGTTTGTCATTTTTGTGATGGGACATGTCCTTGTGCCAACCACGAAGCACAACTACACGACTATTGATTATTGGGGGGCGATTGCGAACATTGAAGCTATAGATTAGTTCAATTGGTGTGAGTTTCTCCTTCAGCATCTTCTTCGTGCTGTTAGAAAGCTGAAGACGGACACGATGGCTAACAGCCTTTCGACTAATCTCACTGGTTGTCACTTATTCTTCCAGGTAAAACTATTTTAGGCCAGACTCTTTAGATAAATTAAGTGCTACCATATAATGAGTTGTTTTCCAATTCATCATTTTCGCAGATTTTTGTGCTTGACAACGTTGACCTTGGCATTTTCAATAAACCGCATAATGTGCTTCCAAGGATCGCCGATTTCGACCCTGATTCACTCCGTAAAATGCTCACCATGGCTCTTGACCCCGTCAAGGGAGCTACGTCGTATTCACATGCCAATGTAATTTCTATGTAGATTTACTGTCATATCTTTTATAAAATCATGCTGTCTCTGAGCGTCCTCTATCTAACCTGGGTTGTTTTGACATGTTTCCTCATTTTTCTGGGGCGTTTCCATTGCGTTCTCGTGTGACAGCTAAGAGACGCGTCAACGGTGTGTTACATGCGTTCTAAGGTACAAGTGAATGCCCCGTCATCATCAACCAGCAAGAGGGTGCATAGGTGTGCAAAGACACCGGTTGCAGTGTCCATGGTTAACACCACAACTCCTGTTCATGTCTATACAAGTCATGCATGCAACGACAGCGCCGCACACTCCAACAAGGCTGCACCTGGGCCACTAGAATTTGCACACTACTTACGGGAGAAGTACCCGCATCTCGTATGTGAAGTCTTTTTTTCTCTTTCTTATGACCCATTTTATTGTTCATTCTGCTTGCATATCAGATGCTAACATTTTTTTTGTCCTCCCCCGCATGGATGCCAGGTAGCCGATGAGTTAACGATGATGCTAAAACATCAGAATTCAAGGATGATAATGCAGTTGACACAGGCTGGCAACTCCATATAGCATGCGTTGTCTCAGGCTCGTGCAGCTTTGCAAATGGACATGTACAAATTTTCAGATCAAGTCATCACCTCGGCTACTAGGCGGTGTGTATGTTGTGCTGCACGTGGTTTTACAGATTGTCCTGCGTCAGGTAGTAGAACTATCGCTTTCATCTTCTCTCCTCAAACAAAATAAACCAGACATGAAAATCACATAAATGGCACGACCTGCCTATCACGCTTGAATTGTGCAGTTCCTACGAATTCAAAGGCAGTGCGATTCACCACACCTGCTGCTCAGAAAATAAAAGGGCAAAGGCTTGACTTATCTGACTGTGAAGGTTAGTTCGTCCAACAAGCTTCTTTTCAGCTCACGTTTTCTGAAATTTATTTTTTGTTCACCTTACACAGAAAACAAATGGTAACACACAATGTTTTCCATCCTTGGTTAGGTACATCAACGGCACCGCTAGGAGGGGCTTCTCGGAAGCGTGCCTTATGCGCCGAGGACTCTACATCTAGTACCAAGAAATCAAACTCAGGGGCATCTTGCAACATTCTTACTTATTTCAAGTCAACTATAGTATCAGTTGCTCAAAAGTATGCTGACCTGTCAAATAACCCAAATGTCAATGTCTTTGGTCAATGTCGAAACACCCCTCAAAAACGGAAGTATATATTCTAGCATGGGTTTGCAATTGACCCATGGACAAAGGGAGTTGTCCCACCACCTCCTCATCCACCGACGACCGACCATATTGCCGCACACTTCACAAATCTGTCTGTCAAGGAGCTGAACAAGTTCGTTGCTATTTTTTTATGTACACGAGCCACTTCTTATTACTAAATGGACAATAGCATGTCCCTAGTTTTTTAGCCCCGCTCCTGTCATGGCTTAACCACTTTGTTATTTTTCCATGTAGCTACTACATTGTACATGACAATCCAAGGCTAATTCGTATCTATGGGATGGCTATGAGGCAGCAGCTACTCGAGGGCCGAGCGCTTGACCATGAACTCGTGTCGATCATCATAAGAAGGTACACTCAATCCGACCAGGAATCCAATATAGAGTGCCCATACATGAAATGGAGGCACAACATGGAGCCTGAATTCGTGGTAATAACAGTTAATGAATTTCTCTGTTTGGACTTCTTTGAAACACATGCATCATTTCTTTTGTTTACTCTGCTACCCTTTGTGTTTTCTCCCATATATATGTATGAAGACGCTTGTGCTAGCGGACCATGAGTATGTCACCAACACATCAATCCAGGAGCAGCTCGCTGGGAAGGATATACCATACGACATAACATCATCTCAGATGGTGTGCTCTCTCACACTTTGCCACTGTTTTCTCATGTTAATGTGCTTATGTTATTTTTTTGGCCGGGTACATTTACCTTTCTCTAATTTATGTTATTTTTGGTTCGACTTCTTCCCATCTGCAGTTCTTTTTACCAGTTCCACTCGAGGAAGGTTGGATAGTTCTTATGTGGGACATGATGTCCAGGAAACTCCATGTCCTTGACCCCCTAATCAGAGGTGATGGTCCAAGTGAAGCAAAAAAAGGCAAGCTTGAGATGATTGTCTGGAAGCTGCATCATGCTTTATTTGAGTGTCTCAATGAGTATTATGTTGGATGGCCTACCCAAGGTAGTCAGTGGGTGACCAAGTATCCGGTTGTTGCGGAAGAATCATTTACCAGGTATGATACTAAAATGCCGAATTGCACAGAAATCAATTCAAACTTAAGTTTACCACCTTGGATTTCCGCAAGTGAACTAATTCTCTCGCACTTTTTTTCATCTTCATGTGCATGAAAAATAAAAAGAGACGAAACCGGGGGTTGCGTGCTTCATGCCATCAGGCACTATGATGGCTCTAAGTTGAAGATTCCGCTCACGAAGGTGAATATAACTTCATCAATCTTCTATAAACAACTCATCCCCGTGAGTTCCTCCTTTTTTATTCCCATATTTTTTCACCTGTCCCTAACTTCGTCATCCACCATGCAGTACAATGCCGACAAAACCAAAAGGCAAGCACTGCATGAGTGCCTCAAACTACGGGGGAACTCGTCGAAGTTGGTGCATGATGCATTTTGGACGGTACTAGCACCCAACGACTCATGGCTTGATTCCATCTAGTCCATTTAAATGGAAAAAAGTAGGCCACCTAGAGGATAAGTGATTGCCTGTGAGACTGAATTTCGTTTCATGTCTTTGGCAGACACCACTGGCCACCATTTTTCATTTCTGTCATGTATCCATCAAATGTTTTATCCTAGTACGACTACTTGTGAAGAACCCGGAGCTGTGTGCGAGGGCTTTATTTTTAAATTAGCCGTGTACTTTTATATGCCCAAAACATTTTGGAACCTCTAAATTTAAGGCGCATCACCTATCAACTATGAACAAATATCATTTGATGTTTTTCCGTTGGGCCTTTTTTTATATCATTGCTTTTTTCTGCCTCCAAATTACTGGTTTTCCTAAACGTTCATGAAGTTAGTTCTACCATTTTTTCATCCTTAGTAATTCTTTTCACTTTTTTCTTTTCTGTTGCTCACAAATTACACATATATGCAATGGCTAACCTTACATACAAAGGGTGTCCATTTTTTTATATTCCATAGTGTCTTTCTCCTATGTTTAACACACATTTTTTCCCTTATAGCCTCACACCCCCATTCATTTTGTTCCCTCATTTTTTGGTCACCAAGTTTCTTCTTCATTTCCCATTCATCAGTAGTCATCCCTTCTCATCCCAAAACAAACGTAGTACTACCTACTTAGTTGGTCCATGGCATTTAGAAACTAATGCATAGCATTTTCCACAAAGTACATGCTGCATGGTCTGACCATCAAATTCAGATAGTCTCAAATTATACGATATAATAACCAGGGTCTACTACTATAGGTCTATCTCTTGAGAAGATCTGATATTACAGTAATCCCCTTTCTGCAGGCAGTCTTCGCTACCGCGTCATACGTCAACCAAAACGTCATGCTACCCTACTGTCGGAACAGTCGTAGGAGCACAACACGAGTACCAAAAGGTCTTGCACAGCCGAAGGCAACTTCGTTAATCGATGATCACGTCAAAGAGGAAATCTGGTATGTCCCCTTTGTTACCTTTCATGCTCACTATTTCGTATGCCAGCTTCTTGCGCTTCTGGTCAATATGTTCCTGCTTTCGCAAAAATATCAGTTGGGACACCAAATCAAGGGGGACCATAGCATCAGTTCGAACTTTTTTGTAACTGAGCAACAAACAGGACCTATGCAAACAAACCTGGTTCAGCGTAGATCGGAGGTACAACCCAGTGAAGTTGGTGAAGTAGTGTGTTATGTAAATTCCACTGTCCTCCCTGAAACCAAGCAGAAATTCATAAGATCCTTTCAGCGCTAATAGCCAAACATCCATATTTTAGAAAGTTCTTGTAGTTCAGACGACCTAACCTGCTGCACGGCTCATGTTGCACCACCAGCGGATGTACAATTTTCCATCCATTGGGATCAACAATCCCATTGCCGAAGTAGTTGTTCATCAGAGAGCAGAACCTAAGCTGGAACTTCTTAGCGTGGTCCTCATGTTTCATCTGCATCTCGTCCATCTCATCTGTCTCGGTTGGGTCAAGCACCATCATCACCTTTGTGTCCTTATCCATAAGATACATTGACCAGCAGTCCATAAAATCCACGGGGAACCAGAACTGAAAGTTTAATTTTGTCAAAATGCAACCACAGTTCTTCAAAGTTAGTTACATGGGGTTTTTTTTCTTGGAGAATTTGCTTAATTTTTTCGGTTTGCATCACTTACCTTCTTCAACCATTCTATCTTCTATCCAATCGATTCCGAGTTCATCATTGTGTCGATGTAGTCCTAGTCAGTTTCACCATCGTCTCGGCAGACTTCCTCCTGTGATGCAAACGGTCAAATGATGAAATTACGTAAGCAAGGCATTACAGGAGAATGTCACAACTTTAGATCTTGAGCTTAGCATAGTGGGGCACTCACAACAAATTTTGGATCAAAAATCCCCCTGAACCTATCTAGCCATCCGCAGTACATAGCATCGTCTTTCTGTTGTAATGCTCTCTGGATGCACCTCATCACACTTGATGATAAATCCGCAGCAGGAATAAGCTCATCCTTTATGTCCTGACCAGACGCAACTGCCAATATCAGTTTGTAATGATTGACCCATTTCCTGCAAGAAACAACAGTTAGTTGTGCAGTTTTGTTCCACCCGAACCTAGTTAAATTCTCATTTATATATGGAGTTTTCACATTGTTTGTACCAGGTCCAATGTACTCACTTTTTAAAACAGTATCATCGCAAGCAAGCATGTTTGTAATGAACCTCGAAACTGCACAATGAGGCGGTTCTTTATGGATTAATCCAATTGATGGTGGATACTTTTCACCCCAATCCCTCTTGCATATACCATTGTTGTTTGCTTTGCACCCTTCATTAGCCACAGCTTGGCTTCTCCCATTGTTGGTTACCGTGTGTTTGATACCGCATTTTTTCAGGTAATTTATAACTGCTTGCAGGAATATAGTCGGTGATGTCCCTGAAACGGGTGTTATCGGCCTGGTTGGAGCTTGACCGTCCCCACCATCTGCAACCAATATCAGATTTTATGAGTGCTGGAACATAAACAGAGGATAGAATATTTTACTCCAAACAAATCAGCACCAATCTGCTTCTAGCAAGTACCTTCGTTGTCGCGGCGGAAGGACGGACCAGGTCGGCAGTTTCTCTGCACATCCAGGGCCCGAGGTCGGGACTGCTGTTGTCTACGTAATAGAGCCTCTTCTCTGGCAGATCCCCCTGTCTCCACTTGTTCTTCACCATGCCAGCCCAACAAGATGGGACCGTTGCAAGGTGGGTCCTCGTCATCATCGTCTCCTGGACGCCCGCTCCGCACGACCATCATCGCTTTGGCCAGACAACAAACAAATAAATTAGGTTAGAGACTAGTTATATTTTTCCAATGTGGTATTTGACGT